TGTTTAAATAATAACATGCAGTTCTTCATTGCGAAGTCGAGATAGACTTTTGTTAGAAAAGCAGCGAGTGTGGGCCAGGCTATCAAATGTTCCACACATTCACACAAAGGACCGTTACTTTTCGGATGCAATTTATTTTAATAGCACAGAATGTGCACCGAGGTTAAAATTCCCCACATTTGATTTTCATTTTTAAGGAATTTCAACCCTGCAGATAGTCTGCAATGCACAGTATTTAGGTTGTTTCATGTTGTGCAGGGGTTACGGTTTAATCCTCTCCCACATATACATACATGCCACCTCCCCATGTCACCCTCATCCTACACAGCACGGTTGTATGGCGAAATAACTGGTGAAAACTGGCTGTAAATGTCCACGCTCATGATATTTCATGAGCGCAGTGTTAAGACTTCAGCATGTCACTGCTGGAAACATTTACAAGGACAGAGCTTGTTCGGCAGTGGCCCATCCTCTGGAGAGATTGACACGTGGCGGGTTAACGTGACATTTCCAACCCCTGGATCACGGCCGTTAAAAGAGAGCATAGTGTCGGTGCCATTGCTCGTTTGAGCATGGAGAGTGTTGACTTCGGCGACTTGACTTAAATGCGTGGCAGGCTTTAGAAGGAAAAAGCGGACGACGTACGTTTTTAACACGCCCAGCCTAATAAAAGATTTGGCCGTCCCTTTGTCGCGCGTGAACTGCGCTCCACCCGTGCCACCGGATCCTGTTACTTTGTTCTGCCACGTCGCCCCCCACACATCGCTTGGGGCGCAGCTTCGTCGTAGCTGGTGTGCGTCGCAGGCGAGCACAACGTGCACACGGCGCCTCGCCATAAATTCGATTTCCCATCCATGCCGCGGCGCAGGCAAAGCTGTGATTATTGTGCACAGTCAGGATTGCCGATAACGTTAAATCACGTGACGTGCGCGGAAAGTTAGAGCGGCCGATGTTGGAGGCGCTCGCTGTTATTTATGACAAGCGGCGACCACTGCCTTTGTGACGTGCGCGCCGCGTCTCGTTTGCGCGTTGATGCGAGGCCGCTGTGTGCCCGCTTCTCAGAGCCGGTAGCAGTGGCCTCTGCATCGCACGATCACGGAGGGTGGTTTGTTTTTGTTTTTTTCCCGAGTAGGCAGTGACACAGAACCAGTCCAGCTCAAAGACAGTAATTCTAACGTGCACGTACACGTAGAACTTAAAAAAAAATTTAATCAATCTACTGCTGTATGAGGGCCTCCCCCATTCCATTTTGGTCATGGGAATTTGAAACCATATTTTACCACGCTGTATCTATGTACACTAATTATACATGCAGTTATGTATGAAAATATTAATACGTGTAAATATGTCATCATTATCACCAGCCATACTCTATGCACTGTTTGATTAAATCATTACCATCCCTCATAGTCTCTTAATGCCACAATCCATCTCGGCGGTAATTTTACTCGGTTGTGTTCCCTCCTTGCGGCTGCCATCATCGCTCCATCTCCGCAGCGGTTCTTTCCGTCCTGCGTGTTGCTGCCATTCGTTGGGCACGACCGTCGGCCGCGAGGAGTTAAGGACTTGCATTTATTGGGCGTTTAAATGCCTCGGCATCTCAATATAGCACACCGCGCTATAAACTGTCTCCGTAGCGAGCGCACTGACCATTGTTGTATGTAAGGATCTCAAACGAAAATCGTGGGAACAAAAACATTATTTATGTTCTTCATTGCCGGTAACTTTTTTGTGACAAAAGCAACATCACGTGGATTCCGACTCGTTGTAACCATGTTGCATTTCTCCAGACACTCGAGTTTTCGCTCACACTCGAAGTTACTCAAGAAATTGGAAACAAGAACCCAAAGTTGAACTGTTCTGAAGAAAAAAAACCCCCCTTTATACTCAGGGAGGTTTATTTTGTGAATACAGAATGTATGCAGTATTCCCTCGTTATTTGCGAGGGATACGTTCTGGAGATGCTCGTGAATAGAACATTTCACGGATAATGATATTGGCCTACGAAAACTTATCTTTTTAATAAATTCCCGTAAATAAATGCATCCGCTATTAAATACATGATAATTATCATAACATAAAAACAATTAAATTGGCAACAATTAACGTAAAGTTAAGTAATATTAAAGTATTAATGAATCCTTGCAGTCACGAAAGCTTTAAATCGAAATATTAAATAATAGTTTAGAAATGAACTTGCCTTAGATTATGATGATGCTGTGCAGAGGCATCATCATCACTTTATGTCATCACTTTATGTCATCACTTTATGTCATCACTTTCTCTCTCTCTTTCTCGATGCAGTCGTGTAGAGTTCCAGATGCGATTCGTGGTTAGCCAAATTTGCGGATATCAAGTTTTTGAAAAACGAGGCAATACTGTGAAGCAGAATATGATTGGAGTGGTGGAGCAAGTGGTTAGTGCACTGTGCTATGAACTCGCCAAACCGAGTTCAATTCCCTTTGGTGATTGGAAGACCTCCACACACCTTCACGGTGTGAAGAGGCCTTCAGCCAGGAGTGGATTGACAAAGGGCTGCGAATTAAAATATGTATATTGCTGTATCGACTGTAAAAAAAAAAACATGCGTGCTATATAAATGCTGTACACCAAAAATATATAAAGATGTATTGTGACAGATGAGTCTGGGTGGCTTTGGGGACTTCATGCAGCGTGTCAGTGTATGGAGCCAACTCGCTGCAGACTTGGGGGTGTTAAGTCCTCGAGGCACACACACAAATATTTCCATCTCACCAGAATTTTAGTTTCAGCCTGGCCACTGACAACAGAGTGCTGCTGGACGGAGGCCTCCTCATTTGCCACGTCACTCTTTGGGGTTGTTTGACCATACTTCACCAAGCTGGTCACAGCGTGGTTGGTGAATGGGGTGGGGGTGACCAGGTCGCTTCAAATATCACTCACCACTGATGTTAGCCATTGGTCAGGAATCAAACTCGGGTTGTCTGTAGGGTTCATATTCCAGTGTAAGCATCAATATGATGTTCCCATTAGAATCTGACCCCCAAGTCAACTCTGTGTCTTCCATATTGATTTCTCTATATATACACACAACACTTTCTTTCACTGTGTCATTTTAATCTCTGTGCTCTGAAAATGCGTTAAGTGCACCCCAGAGACAAAGTACTGTTGTGTTCATTTGTGAAAACTTAAACATAAAGCAGACCACTTTTACCTGACCAGCTCCGGTTATACACCATGAATGGCTCAAGTCTTTCACCTTATTGTACTCTCAGAGTTAAGTGCAGTGTGTAAACTAATGAAAATAGTTTTAATTTTGAGGACCCCCATTTCAAAATAATTGAGTGTGACCATAAGTGACCGGGCTGACGCGAAGCTTGCTGCACATGACACTGCCAGAGGCGACAGGTTTGTTTTTCGCTTTTACACCCTAAGTGTTTGTGAATACATTATGTGAGAGGTCCTGGCTTAATTCTCAAACATGGCTCGTACCCTTCCTGAGCCACCCAGCTGGCCTACCCCATATTCTCTCCTGCTGTGTGCAGAAGAAACAACAATGTCCAACTACACAATGCTTTTCTGCTGCTGTCAATGAAATAGACAGAAGCAGAGAGACATAATACTTTCATGAAGATATATAGATACATGTACGCACATTTCGGAGCAGTGTCTCGAGAATGTGAGGTGTCAGAACATCGTAAATCTTTCCTCCGCACCCTCACACTTTCGTTGTCGTGAACAGAGAGATGAAAATTGGCGCATTGCGAGCAAGGCACCGGCATTGCATCCGGTGAATCTTCGGTGACTCTGCCGGAATGAGAACGGAAATTGCAACGAGCTCAATGTGTACAGAGTGTCGCTCACCCCGGCTAATGGATGGCACTCTAAATGACGCTGTCAAAAAAGGCCGCGGCGATTCAGTTCTAACCTTCCGAAGCTCCCTTTGTTAAGTTTCGGGTTTTCGCAGTGTCACTGTATAAAAAGTGATTGGGATAAAATATTTAATGCAGGACTTCAGGCACCTTGTCCCATAACAAGGTAATGTGACTGAATTTCACCACGTAATTTGGTGCATATATCAGCGCGGATTTTTTTTTTCTTCCCAAGCAGCTGACACGCATTCAAATTGAATTTTGTTTTAGTCGGCAGTGGAGCAGTGAGACCTGGTCACGTACACTCGTGTGCACTATAGCTTGATAATTAAGCCCTCAAATTGTTGGCGATGCCACATTCATCTCTTCCTTGTTAAACTTATTTATGAGAATTAAAAATATGGACTTGCATATTATTGGTTCTTTCGGTAAAGTCACGTTGAAGGGAAACAATAAAGTAATTTAAAAAATATTTTATTATTTTATTGTTCACGTTGAAGGGAAATAATAAAATATATATTTTATTATTTTGTTGTTTCCCTTCAACGTGACTTTACCGAAAGAACCAAGAATATGAATCACTGCAGTCACGAAAGCTTTAAATCAAAAATATGGACTTGCGTTTATCGGCATTAACAATTATTTTACACCATGTCAATTTATTAAGTAAACGTAAAATGTCGTCTTGACTTCGTAATTAAAGCCAAATGGAAACGTTATGGTAAATGTAACACCATGCATGACGTTCCATTATTGATTTTTTTACACATATCATCTGCTGTGGTATCTTTTGTATAAGGAAGGTATTAAGGAAGAACATGTGAAAATATTACAATACTGGTTTCACCAATGTCTAATGTTGATATGCCATATACAATTAAACATGTATTGGAGCCCAAAAGTACCGTGGTGTTCTTACTGTCACCGAGAGGATTGAAAGATCTCAATATTTTGAGCGACTAGTCTCTTTGAGGATATTTTTCTTGAGATAACATTACCTCAGGAAACATATTATTAATTTCCTCAAATATGCCAGTTGGCAGAAACTTACAGACATCTTACGTAAAAAAAAAGTCTGTTCTTTACCTTAATGAACGTGTTATTGTATACGTTCATAGTGTATTGTTGATCCTGGTTGTGTGTGCTCAGGAGCTGATGTGAGGATGCGAGACAGCCAAGGCCTCACTGCATTTGACTACATCCACGACCATGCTGAGTGGATTGAGAGCCATCTCTTCACAGACGAGACTGTTACTTGGCTCAAAGGTACCGCTATCAAGCTTAATTTAAAAAAGTCTGAACATGTTTTATTTCAAAGATCAGCCGGAGGGTTGTTATGAAGTTGCTGAGCTAGAAAAAAATATGAAATACTTTTGTTTTGTCTTCTTAAACTGTTTTAGCTTCCATACCTCTCACACCTATCAGTCAATTGCTATTTTGTTTTATCGTGTTCAATCGCAATGATGAATGTTACGCTTGTTTACCCAGCAAAGCCTTGCTGAGTCGCAGGATTCTTTTTCAGGAGGGTCCTGCAAAGTTTTTCGCAGTAGAGGGCAATGTTGCTGCCGTGCGTAATCCCAAATGAGTATGTATTTAGCTATGGGAGGAAACAGAGGCAGAGCATACAAACTCCACACAGAGAGGCTCCCGAGTCAGGAAATCTTGCTGTGAGGTACAAGCGTAACCACTACGCCAAGATGCCATGCAATATAATCATTCTTATTATTTGTCGTCAACAGCTCACAATCTACCATGTGCTTGAAAACTAATGCCCTAAAACTTTCAGTGGCACATCCTGAAAAGGGATTAGATTTTGTATAGTGTGTGTGTGTGCGGACACGTGTGAATGTCAAGCGTGCATGTTCATCGGTGCTCATTAGCATTCGTATAGTCAAAACCGTAAATCACATTTCACTTCATCTCACACGCACCTACAGCTGGATGAGCAATGTGTAGCCAATTGGGGTGCAGAGAACACGGTTGAATTTTCGTACTGCAGATCGAACCGGCACCACTCGGCTGGGGCAGCGTAGTCCAATGCTAGACACTGACAGGGGCAATTGTTTGTGTAATTTTCCCAATGGTGGACAACTTGAAAGGATCCCAACACATTTAAAAGGCTGTATAATTACATTGCTAAACAAATGTTGCCACTATTCTGAGAAAGTGTACGTATATTGCATAAATAATGTTCCCTTGTTTTTGCAGTCAGCACACTTTTCCCTTGGACATCATTAGTCCATTTAAATGCTGTATACTTCCTTACAATGGCAAGCGTTTCTTGATGAGGTCAAGTGCTTTTTAAGCGAGCACCTATTAAGGATGACACTGCATACGTTGCAGTGGCATAACCATACTTTGACACTTTTGATTTCCCCAGTGCTGATGTTGGCATTCCGCATCAGGTATTATTCTTGTGGCTGAAACAACCTAGGGTAGGCCCAGGTCAGGCTCAAGACCCCGTTGTCAATGATGGTATAAATGGCCAAAAATCAAGCAAAGGTCATGGGATTCACAGGGCATCATGCAAATCACTGCGCCACTGCTTGAGACATGCGTGCACACACGCACTCAGACATACCCAGAACAGCATTGAAGGGTGCGGGCCAAAAATCATAATTAAATTTCATCAGCAGGAAACAACCTCATTTCAAGTGTTATGGCTTATTTTTAAAGCTACTTATTTTCGCTCGGTTTTACTGCATATTAAAATGTACGATTGTGTGTGTTTTTTTTTACCCCACAGCAGAAGGTCATGTTGTTTTGTTCAAGCTGAGTCAATTCATAACATCTCTCAGTGCATTTTCTGTTCGTGGAAAAGTGCCATCACCATCTGTCTGCTGAGTGAAATGGCAGGCTATTGCCTGGCGTCACGGGGCCAGGAAGGCGACCGGGGCGATCCTGCACGTTAGATAATCAGTGCCGAAGCCCTCTGCAGGGAGCCGTTAGTTCTGACTGTAGGTTACTGAGTGGCAGGGAGCAACCCCGGTGACCTGACCCCTCGCTGGCAGAATCGCTTGTGCACTTGCAGGGTGGCATTGCTTCATATTTGCAGATGAATTAACATAAATATCAGGCTAATGTCAACAATTGCTTTCTGGACAGTTGAGTCTTTGTGCACTCCTTGCAACTTAGCGAAATGGAGTCGATTAGCATTTACAAAGAGATAATTTAGTAATGGTGAGTAATCCCCCAATTCAGCCATGACTTGAGCACGCAGTGACCTAGCCTTACAAGCAGTGCTCACATGTTGATTTCAACCTCACAATTCAGCAGACGCTTCATTTCATGTGATGATGCTCCTCCCAGCAATGGATTTCATATCAAGAATGTAGACAATTCTTTGCTATTTATTGGCTAAAATATTTCCAAACAGATAAAATGTCGTAATGGACAAAGTATATCTTTGCATCTGTTGACTGCGAATTATAATCACTCCATCATAGTCAAAAGTGAATAAATTAGCACCCAACAATAAGAAAAGTTCGGCACATGTTTTAAAATAAAGATTGATATTATCACGAATTTGGGGAGTTAGCCAAGTTTATGAGCCAAACTAAAGTGCTCTTGCAAGACAAGGGTGATATGAACCTTATGGCGCTACCCCGGGGTACCATGGTACCCCGGCTCTCGCATAATGTCCGTGATGCAGTCATGTTTAGTCTGTTGATGGTCGGCGATGCGGCATTCGACTCATCTCGACGAGCTGTACTCACGATGCACCACCGCTACGATTCATCTCGACGAGCTGTACTCACGATGCACCACCGCTACGGTGCCGCGAGCGTTCAGGGTTTCAGCGCAATCGCCCTCGCTGCGTTTCGACATCGCGGAGTGGCACCGCTGATTTCGGACTGATTGGTACCCCAGTCGCGGAGTGAAGTACACCCCTGGAAAAAATTAGTGTCCCAGAAATAAAATATTTAATTGCCTCGGCCAGTTTGTATTATTTGGTACCCCGGGGTCCCGCTATGAGAATCATATGTCGCATTGATCGATGCAGTCATGTCCAGCATGGTAAATTAAATTCCATGTCATTTTTAATAATTCCAAACATAATGTTTCTGTTATGGTGGGTTTTCTCGTCGATTACAGATTTGATTATCATTTCAAACACCATTCTTGAATTTAGATTGTTTCAATATACAGTACTTTTACTGAAAAAAAATTCTAATGTTTTTTTCTGCTCATCAATTGAGAGCACTATTAAATGGTTGTGCTTGCTAGAACTATAGCCTGCAAAGGTGTTCGTGCTTTCAAATCAAAATAATGCAATGTTTATTGAGGAATTGTTGAGTTGTAATTGTGGTTAAACTTGCTTTGTAACTGGAGATTCGGTGTTACAAAGGCTTTGTTCTTCAGGTGTCTCACATGGCCCTTAAACCCAGTGAACACTGCCCAGACAAGGTATGAAGATGTTAAAGTGAGGTTAAAACCAGTAAACACTGCCCAGACGAGGTATTAAGATGTTAAATCTAGAATAAAACCACTGAACACTGCCCAGACAAGGTATTAAGATGTTAAAGCTCGGATAAACCCAGTGAACACTGCACAGACGAGGTATTAAGATGTTAAAGCTAGAATAAAACCAGTGAACACTGCACAGACAAGGTATGAAGATATTAAAACTCGGATAAAATCAGTGAATACTGGATATAAAATAATCCATCAGTCAATTATGAATGAAATGGAAAGTTGTATTTCAGCCAACATTAACTATATGGTACAGGTAGTGGAAACAAAGTTGGTGAGTGAGGCATGGTGCTGGCCATATTACAATCTCATGTCCCGTGCTGGTCTTAATACGTTCTGACAGTCAGTGCTGGTTAATTGAGAAATCATTATCTCTTTGTTTTGATGTCCGTGTTGTGTGATTGTATGCAGCATATGAGCTGAAACAAGGCAGAGATCTCATCAAAAGCATAACCAGAAAATTACAAGTACGAAAGCGAAGTGTTCAGAGCAGTGGTGTCCTTCACAGCCAACTGTCGAAGACCTTTGGAGACTCAGTGTCCTCCTGGATCAGGTCAATGCCACCACTGTGCTTCGGGTCTGGTCTCCAGGCCGTGCTGGCCAAGGAAGTTCCACGCAACCTTTCGTTGCGCCCAGAGCAAGCGGCAAAACGCAGCCTCGGCCATCACATCGACAGTTCTGCTGTTGCTGTACAGCCAACCGCGAACTTGATGATGCACTGCAGCAGAGGGACCACTTCAAAATTAAATCCTCAGAGCAAATTTTCTCATCTACACCGCCAGAAAGACCTTCAATCTGAACTGCAAAGCGACGGAAATGTGGGCCGTGAACCCAGGAGGCACGGCATCCTCGCAGGCCAGCGTTCTCATTACCTCTGTGGCAGTGTTGCACCTGCGGGGTCAGGAGGCCGTACAGTCCAGGAGATTCTGACAACCGCCTTGGCAGAACTAAATGGGGGTGATGTTGTCGCAACACCTAGGCCCACGATTGCCCTGCCTTACACAGAGCTCCCCGGAATGCTGCCTCGTGAGCCAATTTGCCAAAGAAAACAAAACCTGCATTGCTGAATGCGCAAATGAGGCCCTTGCAGCCTGGCTTTATGTTCCACATTAGCATTTGATGCTATGACATGAGACTTGTTTACACCACAAGGCTGCCACATTAAACACACATTTGTATTTTACAATATATTACTTAATAAATGGTTCATTAAGTTAACAAGCAAATGAATAACACTAGGATTGCAATAACATGAGTAAATGAAAAACTATGTATATAAGGAAGTAGATAAAACAATTAAAATAGACAGGCCAAGGCAGAACCAATGGTGGCTGTATTAATGATGCAGGCATCAGTTCTTAATATCTGCATATACTTACATTTTCAAGGAAGTGAATATGCAATATGTATCTGTAATTGAAGATGACAATATAGTTGTGTGTGCTGATGATGAACCGGCTGCATTAATGTAGGTCCAATGCTCATGCCTATTGATTGTGCATGTCTCGTATACATCTCTGTACCTTAGAGTGAGCATTTAAAAAAAAAATCCACATTCTTTCGCATGAAACCTGTGAGATGAGGTACCAGGGCTGTGTTTGAGAATTTTAATGACTGTTTAAAACGTAGGCTTTCGAATTTTAAATGTTGTGGGTTTACTCCCCAACACACCGGTGTGCTGAACTGGTAATGAATTGGCATGTTTTGTTTACGTGACAACCCTTACTAATTGGCTGTGTCGGGTAGTTCCGGGTTTAACGACACCAAAAAAACTCTATTATGGATTATTTTAATGACTACAGTCTTAATATTTTCATTGGAGGCCATCACAATTAATGGATTTTTTTATTTTAAAAACCTGAGATATAATTGACGTGTGAACGACATGACATTTCACCCGAATAGATTTGGGTATTTTAGAAAATAAAAAAACACGGTAAAGAAATTCATCTATATGTGGGCCTCAAAATAACACGTAAAAATATATATATTGTTTACACAGTTCACTATTTACGTTTTGCTTTTAAGTTAACGCAGATATTATTGCTTAGTCTATTTTGCGTGTCCAATGGAATGTAAAATTAGCTGCGTTGAACGTGTTTATTTTTGTCAAAGATTGTTTTCATCTCAATCCTATGATTCAGTATAACTGAGGCACATTAATAAAACGATTATGCAAACAGCAGTGTGCAATCATTTTCCTCGGAACATCTAAATGCGTATATCCATCACAGGCAGGAGTTAAGAACATCAAGTAATATGGCAGTTTCAAAGGGTCAGAGCACTTTGGCTACATTCAAATGTACTCCCCTGGTGTCAGATGGAGTGGTTTTCTAAAGCGTGATATCTCACGCAAGAAGCAGTGCCTTAAACACTACAAAAAACTCATCTGCATTCACCGTGATATATGCATGTATGTTGAACTTCTTTCGTGTCGCATGGAGCCTACCGTGCTAATCGGATGTGCGTGATGAGTCTTTCTAAGGCCTCGTCCTTCCTTTCCCAGGCTCTGTGTCTCGAGTTTTTTGCAAAATGCCTCCGGCTTCCTTTTGCTCATCAGCACTGCGTGTGGGTGTGCTGCCCACACCGTGTGTGAATCGAGATGGGTTTACAGTCGGGTGTGAGAGATTACAGAAAGCTCTATTCCGGAGATAAGGCAGTGCATTGGACTTCGCCGGTTGCAGTTGTGTTGCTAAGCCCCGGCTTTTGTTAGATAATGCGTCTGGCAGCATCTAAATTTGGATGAAAGCTGTCTTTCCATTAAACTATGACTACGTGTAGCAATTTTCAGGAAACTGGTAGAACGGTTACGACTGACAGACGAGAAGTATATTTGTACATCGTTTAAATCTTTTACATGTACAGATATATAGGGAGCTGAATAACCTGTCGCTCTGGCTGCCCACTAATGGCAGATCACCTTGAAGGTCAGTTTACAGACCTACAGTGCCTCAAACGATCAGGGTCCAAGTGATTTGCAAGACCTTTGTCCCTGCTGCTGCTGCCTCTGCTCCTTTTAACCTGGCTTTGAGTTTTCATTTCACGTTGGCTAACCCGATAATTCTCATCGGAGTTAAATTACGATTTTGTTTTTGTGTACATTTTGTGAAATGCGCTTTTTAAAATATATAAATTAACACATTGATTAATTGAAGATGCTCAAATACTCTCTGCCAGGCGTGTCGGTATTAAAAGATTCATAATCTAGGCAACATATGCAAAAGCTACCGCACCCATGGGTCTTCCATCTGAAATGGTTCAAATGTGTTCGCATTTAAAATATTCAACCTTGGTTTCAAACATGCTAAATAAGTGGTAATTTATACTTTTCCAATACTTCCAAGACAGATTTCTTCTGACAGTCAATCTTTTTGCAACATTTGTGTGTTGTAATTTAAATATTGTATACAGAAAACTTAAGTAATAACATAAAAAAACATTTGAAAAGCTTCATTTTGTGCAGGGCATGGATAATTTTAGCTAAAATGTTACAGAAGTATGAGGTGATTTTCTCTCTTAACTTTACAGTTATGCACTGTTGATTGGCTTCTGTGTGACGTTAAGACAGAGCTGACCGACAATCAATCACATTCCTTTTACTACAGAGCATGTTTAAAGCATGAGGCCAATGTATATTGATGTCCTGTTTATTGACTCACTTTCAGTGTGTGGCAGTTTTACTCACAAAATTGCCTGTCAACGCATATACTCTATATAAAACAAATTCTGAGAATCTAATTACGACAAATAACAATGTAACATTGTGCTATGAGAGAACAGCTATTTAAGATGATTGTAAGCAATTTCTGGAGTCACGAGTGCTTTGTGATGTATCAGAAGTATGCAGGATCTTCCAGACGAGTAGTCCATCCCCATGTACGTTGAACTTCTTTCGCACCATACGTAGCCCATCGTGCTAATCGGAGGTGCGGGTATATTGAGGAGCGCTTCATTTAAGAGGGCCCTCTCTGTTCCTCCTTCTCCTCGTACTCAATCCACACTGTCGCTCTTTTTCTCTTCTTGCCCCCCTCCACATTAAACAGTCACCTTCGCTCACTCGTGTCCACTCCCCACTCAAAACTCACACATGTTGTTACGTAGCTCACCCCACGACCCCTTTAATCTCCCCCTCACAATCACCACCGTTAATTTTCCCTCTTCATATTCTCATTACATGGCTTTCACTCATTCCTCATTCATTCAGTCCATCCATTCACCATCGTTTACTGTCGTCAATTTCGCTTTCACCAAATTCACGCATCACACATTTGCCCATTGCTTCCTCTCATCTATTTCGTTCACCTCATCTCCATCATTACATTCACGCACGTTGCACCGTTGTTAATTCCTTGTAAAGCGCCTTGGTTAGGGCGTTTTATAAATCCCTTTAAGTTAAGATAAAATGATTCTTGTCAGGTGCTGTTCCACAAAACCTATGCTGTAGCTCACATTGTTTTTCTCTTCTTGACGTAGGTTGGCACGAACGCACCGTGCCCCTGTGCCAATTGACCCATATGGCAAGTGATCCATACGTGCCTAAATTAGACCGTTGTGGCTGGCATTGCTTTGGAACTTGTTCTTCAAGATTTGGAACCGTCACTTCTAACGGATCATATAATATACCGCGCATCCAGACTTGATACAAAATCAATGATGCCCCCTCGTGCCTTGACGGGCTGTTGGAGGCAAGTGCCGTCGGCCGGCACCTTTGTAAACCGGCACGGCACGCGAGGGGGTAGGTGGGCAGCACGACGCTCGGACCGTCTTCGCCACTAACATACATACTTGGATGCACTCGCAGCACCAACGTCACAAATTACAAAAAAGCAGGTCACGTGATATAGGAGTTTGTTTATTTCATTACGTGGTGGTGCGCATAGAACAGCACTTTCATTTCCCCAAATTTCAATATATTCCTTGTTCTCACAACCAGTTATTGTTGTTACACAACCAGTTATTGTGCTTTTCTACACAGCAAAGAAACCCCCTAAATGAAGTTAAGCTGTAAAAAAAAGAGGGCAGTTAAAAAGCGTTATAGCCGTAAGGGGTTTGCAACAACTACAGCTGAGCCTCAAAAGAATTACAGAAGCTACTTTTAAAATTTCACACCATTTTCTGAAATGTTTAGTTTCTGCGTTTTGGCCAAGTAAAATATATGGCCATCTAAAAACAATAAACCTGTTTACAGCCCCACTGGGTTCAATCGCAGCAGAGGGGGGGCTGTTTTATTTTGTTTCCACGATAAATTTTCAGTTGAAGCCAAGCCCTATTTCATAATTTTATTTCCATATTCTACCAAGTATGCAGAGCTTGCCGGTTTCATTCTTCGATCTTCTGCCACAGAATGGGCAAAGTTTATTAAATGCAACCCTCTTTCCACCCAGCAGTATAAATGTGCACAACTGTATTTAGTCTATCGGCATGGTGATATATGGTGGGGCAAAGTGTGGATAGTGCCACCTCTTTCCAAGAGGGAGACCCTTCTGCCAGAATTGGTGTGAGCAAGTGATTGCTGGGCAGAACCTTTTTCTTTTTACCTTTTATGCCACCAAGTAATGGTGATAAAGAACAATGTCATGGCTTTAGACACAGTTCAACGATTGTTAACATTTGAAGTTCATGCAATTTTAATTTTCCACACGATAAATACCGACAGGGTTAAAGGTGGTTTGTTTATGGCGATTAGAGGAGGGGCTTTTACCACGCTATACGTCGGTCGGACAGTGACAGCAGACGGCCCTTGCAAACCAATGTTTGCCACTCGGGCATGCATTTCAGCCCCACAGTTATTGTGCACTGGGCACATTATCAAACACATTATCTGGGCACGTTATCTCTGTGTGACATTTAAGTTCGCTTTATTGCAAGATGGGAGATCAGCCCAACGATCGGCAGGCCTAGCACGTGGTGGGGTAAGGTGTGGTGGCTACTTGCAACCGATTCCGAGACGGCTGGCCAGCGTGGAAGATTAGGCCAAATGCCCTCTAGCGCTCCCCTCTGGCGTTAGACCCTTCCACCAGGAGTGGCACAATGAAACAGTTGCAGGGCTGTATCCTTTACTGAAAGGTCATGGTAACCTGGCAGATGTCCCACTGTCTCCTCTGCCCACTCCTGTTACAGAATCATAATTGTGTTGTTGGAATCAGTGGATTTGTGATAATTGCAGGTGACACCGAGCAAATAATTTGTATATGATGTATAAAATATGCTCTGATTCTTGTAGGTAGAATCTTTTTTTTTTAATTCCAGTAGTACTGTACTTTACGGTCCCGATTATGGGATTACAGTATTAACTTTCAATAAATCCTGAGGGGGGGGGGGGGTACATTGTATACCTCATTCAAATTTAAGAGCATGCACCGCAGTTGAATTGCAATATACTGTATATTTTATTAGGTTTCCCCATTTGTATAATAGGTAAAGCATATTTAGCAATGGATTTAATGAAATGTTTTATTAACAATACTGTATGCAGGTAAATTACCCTGCCTAAATACAATTGATGAAAGAAAAACAAAATTCTTACCGTTCACAATTCTGTTTTCCAATTAAATTTTATCACATCGTATGTCTATTAATTGAAACAACAGTTACACCAATTATATAATTTTAGTTTTTTTTAATTCAAAGATGCGTCTCTGCCCTTAAAATATATGGAAGCGTCAGTGTATTGATGCAAAATAGCTTAACCTAAAATAAATACAGTGTGAAATTAGAAAATGCAGTGCTGGATGATGATAATAAAATAGACTTTAAAACAATAGCACTCGAAGAGGATGATACCTTGTAATGTACCGTAAGCAGCACAGCCACTCCAAATACACCGCCTTGGTCAGCCACTTAGTTCCACAGATAAAGAAGGAAATGTGGCAGCGCGCGTGGGCTGCGTGCGGTGAAGTTGGTCACGGATGGGCTTTGCATCACGGCGTTTCTCACCGGGGTGGTAAGAAATACAAACGGCGAGCTGGCCCGCCTGGCACAGCCACGTCTGGCATCTTTCCAGAGACAATTATTCAATTTTGGACAGTTGTAATGTCGCTCGAGTGCTCCTGTGATTTGTCACGGGCTGTCCAGACGCCGGTGGTGTTTACGGAATTTCTTTTTTTTAGCTGGACGATGAGAAAGGGGTAATGGAGAGAGGGGTGGGGGTTTCCATTGGCAAAGCTTATGGCTGCAGGAGGTCCTGTGTCTGTGGGAGGTGCAACGAGTGAAGAAAATGGTTGGTCGACCTGATCCATTCGTTGCTTTAGCAATACTGAAGTGAAGAAAAATAAATATATATCGGGCTCCATTGGTGATTACTGTTGACAACTCTAAAATAATGCTGAGGACAGAGCTAAAGTGCAAGTTTCTTAAAAGCCCTGCCCCTGTCCACCCAGTAGTATAGAGTATTTGGCTGCTATAAATGTACCGTGGTTAGTCACTTCGTTATGGCCAGAGAGCTCAGTGGGCCTCACCTGGTAAAATGAAAGTGGTTTGATCGTTAGTACTTAAGATTCTTCAAAAATGGTACAAACATTTATAATAATAAAAGTACTACCTGATTTGCATCGCCTCAACCCACACCTACACTCACATTTATAATATTCACACTCCCGTTCCTAGATATTTTGCTTGGACATGGCCTAAACGGTAAAATAACACAGCGTTTACAGAAAGCAAACGCACACTGATGCCTATCTGAATGCAGATTCGCATCATCATCCAGCTCAGAAATCCTCTCTTATCAAGACGCTCATACATCGGGCTAAAACAGTGTCAGATGATGAAAGTCTAGTGAGAGAGATCAAACACGTTAAAGAAGCACTACGACAGAATGGCTACAATAATGCTCAAATTAACAGAGCACTGAATGCCAAATCACGATCGCAAAGCAATACTGCTGAAAGCGATCAGATTGTTAAAACAATAAAAATTCCATATATCTCAGGAGTAGCTGACAAATTAGCCCGTGTTTTGCAAAAGCAAAACATTACAGTAAGATTTGGTACAGTACACAATTCAAAAACTAGTATCTTGCACTAAAGACGCATTACCTAAATTATCAACAGAAGGTGTATATCGGATTAATTGTTTATGTGGCAGATGCTATATTGGACAGACGGGACGTAACATCAGCGTAAGACTAAAAGAACATCAAAGAAATATTAAAATATCTCAAACACAACTGTCGGCAGTGGCAGAACATGCTTGTTAACAAGGACACTCAATTGATTTTGATGACGTTGAAGTGTTGTGTAAAACGAATTATTACTGGCAAAGACTAATTCGAGAATCCATTAAAATTGAGAGGAATAGAAATAACTTTTATCGCTCTGACAGCTACAGGCTTAGTGCGGCTTGGAAGCGTATTATTAAATAATACATATTACAATTCCTTATAGTGGAAACACTAATTAACGGATTACTAACGTAGCATATAATCACAATAACACATTACAACTAATTACTAATCTACAACTCATTACTAATCATAACCATTAACTGATTACCAATCGATTATATAATTACACCCCCCCCTCCGCCTCAAATCACTGCACCTATTAATGAGTTAAATGATGACGTCACCCTGTTGCTCTATTTAAGATCGGGAGCAAGCGAGGGCTTTACCATTCTGGCAAATTGCCTGATGATGCTGGATGTAATTACCAGTGAAACGTCGTACTCAAACTGTAAATGTTGTGGATTCACTCTTCAACACACCGGTGGGCTAAAGTAGTGAACTATTTGTCTTTTGTCAACGTGACACTTTTTTTGCTGATTGGCCGTGTCGGGTGGTGGAGAGTTACGACACATTTATAAA